TATATAGATGCAGTGAGCACTGCCTTGGATTACATTAGAGCATCCACGTACAGAATCTCTCAACGCTCAAAACTTACTTCCGCTAAGCACATCGAGTTGACATCTGTCGCTCTTCGAGTCGCATTCAGTGCTTTTTGTAGGACTACTACAGTTATCACACACATAACACTTAAGAGCGTCAGCTGAAATAAAAGTAGATTTTACAAATCAATATTGCAATACTATTACAACACTGCAATATAATTTTCATAGCATGAATATTGAAGCTAATGATAAAGTTTTTTTCAGAAAATCTCTACATAATTTCGGATAATTTATGCAATATGCACATCTATGCTGTTATTGAGTCACTTCTTATTGCAACCTTAAAAGAGGGGAGCAGATGCTCCCGACTTCCACCACATGTCACATGCCCTCCCCCCAATATGAACATTAGTTCATATATGAAAAATAGGGAGGACATAATAGAGTTCGACTATCTTGACAACTGCTAGTCACAGAGTTTAACCTTCTTTTTCAAATTGTCCAGGGCATCAATGTTTTTATTTAATCAACATTTTCTCAAAAAATGACAGGAAATGCCTCATTTAATCTTTGACTAGAGGAAATTACCAAGTTTTTCATGCTCACCGATACGAATCCAGAATTCACCCTAACTATCGCACAGATAGGGTTAAAGGGTGGGCAGAGTCGTAATGAGGAAAGAGCGTAAATTGTGGTTGTTCTTTCGCTGGAAGATATATTTTAGACGTGAAGGGGGAGGGGTCTGGGATCTTCCTTCGGATTTTTTTTAATTTTATAGATTGGAAATTCGTTTTCCTGCATTCTGACTATATGTGAATAAATATCCCACGACCTCCAGAATCTAGCCTGACGCCATATCACTAGACTAATGAGCTTGCGCTTAGGTAGGGCAAAATAAAAACAAAACATCACTCCTATGATATTTTCCTGACGCAAACTTACATCGAAATAACATCATTATTATTTTCTTTTTTTTTAAATTTTATTTAGCGAATATATCACTGACCTACTTGTGACAATCCCTTACAAAAGACAAACATACACACACGATGCTTTACACAAACTAATCTCAATATGAGATTTAGGGAGTGGAGTTGTTTTGGTCCTGAGAAAAAAAGGAATTGAACCCAGGACTCTGGGATTGGAAGGCAAGCATCTTAACCACCAAGCTATTAAACTCCACTCTAAATTATTAGTTTGATTAGTTATCATGAAATTCTTATAAATTTGATAATGTGGACAAAGCCCTACTTAGGAGTTTTCACAACCGTGACCCAAGCGTTAGTTGCACTGATAATCTTGAATTTGCCCGTAATATACCTGCTTAGAATTATTTTAACAAATATTTATTTCTCTATATTCAAGCAGTAGGTTAAACATAAACATAAAGAAATAAATTTCCTGGCAGTCTACCAACGAAACTAAAAAACGTCATTCGTACCGCTGGCAGTAATACTTACTGGTGACTGCGTTTTACCCCTTCCCTTTGTATTTCAAGTAACTCGAAAACAAATGAGTAAACGTTGATTATTATTGTTGTTGAATGCATTTGAATTGTAGCCCTTATTGCACATTAACTTATTAGAAAATGCCTGTCGATTTGTTTTCAGGTGTCTTGTTAGCGGCATAAACTGTGGCACCGAGAGGCCGGGGTAACTGGGGAAAATGCCCCAGCAGAGCCTGGCCGGGATAACTGGGTAAAAATAATAAAATAAAATAAATAAATCAAAATTATTGAACGTAGGCCTATACATTCATTCAGTATCATTCATGTGTTTTTCCCACGAGAATTATAAATAAAGCCGACCGTTTATCAATGAAAGCTGGTAATTAGTCGCTTCTATTTGACTAGCCCCCATAGGTAGGTATCGATCAAAGAAAAACCTTGCAAGTGGTAGTCGTTTGGATGGATAGGGATTATCAAGGAATTTCGTCCATTAAACTAGTGACATTGTCGATCGTGTCATAAGTAACACCTGACGCCTCTTGCGGGATGCCGGGATGTACAGAAGCCCCTCAAGGGTAGGACAGGTCCTGAATAATACAAAATTTACCTGACTCGGCCTTAGGCACCAGCCCTAAATGAGAAGCAACGAAGGAATCAAAGGGAGGTGCGGCAAATGGGCCCGCCAATCTACCTAGACATAAGTCCTTCTGACTGAATTTTCCAATCTGATTGGGGTGTTCCAATGCACTACTATGGTTACGTGAAATACCAGGGAGACGGGGATGAGCAAAAGGTGCACAAGGTGCGGTGATGTTGGTTCCCCTGCGATAGTCTGTTTCTAAAGTTTTTTATTTTTAGGTCGCTTGGTTAGACATTAGGATTTAGTTAGTTTTTGGTTTGTTTCTTTTGTGTAACTTATAGCGCATAGAGACCATGTAGTGTGCGCTTTATAAGTGCCAAACCATACCATTACCATTACCATTACAAGGTAAAGGAAAGCCTACAGAAAAACCCTGGATTTAGATCGTCGAAAAGCCATGGAGGATAGCCAAATAAAAAACGCTTGAGTTCACTTACTTTTACCGGTGTTGGAAGGGCAGGTGGGATTAGCGAGTCGGGCCGTGATTCGGGCCATGATCGTCCTGAATTGACCGTGGTTTCCTGCAACTGCAGGGCGCTTTTTGTTACAGAGAGTCCGAGGGTGTGAGGAGCGGCAAATTGCACAAAGGTGTGCGTAGCTGCAGGTGGTACCAGCACTTACTCGAGTAAATCCGTATAAAATCCGTATAAATCAAAGCTGTATTTGTAATAGCACCGATTAATGGAATCGAGAACGTCAATCAAAGAACGCTGACTACGCTTAATCGAAGAAAAGTCAGTTGAACACCAAACAATCAAACGCAGTTAGAAGTTAAAATAAGATGTGATGCACCAAACATTTCAAAACGCAGTTGAAATTAAAAACAGAAATCGTCTGCGAGGCTTGGAAGCAAAGCAAAGAGAGGGTTCACATGTCTAATGCAAACTACTAAATTCACCCTTCAAATTGGGCTATCCTTGGTGTTTACACCGAATAAATCCAATCCAAATCCAATCAAAACAAATATAGCGCCTCTACAAAATCGCCAAGCATACGCCCTCCCACGACATATATAAATCTGTCTCTTATACACATCTAGATGTGTATAAGAGACAGATGCACTGCGCATTTTGCAGACACATGCGTGATCATCATTTATAACGCATTTAGCGCAAGTCTGCGTGAGAACAAATTATCACGAATTCAGTTGGGAAAATGTATTTAAGATTAGAAGAAATTGGTTTTATTAAAAATATAAAAGCGGTCAGTAGGCCTAACCTGAGTCATTAGTTTTAGTTATTTCGTTCGAGAATCAATCGATCGAAAAAATTTCTCTTCCTCAAAACACAGCCACAACAACGCACTAGATCATCTTGGAGAGGCGCGTGCGGTCTTGCGCATTCATTGTCACAACCAACTATTGATTGTGACTGAAACCGGGACCCCCACCGGGGCCTCGCCTCTGGACCCCGGCAGGGTCCTTGAGTTGCGCCCCGCCCCTCCCCATTCCCCAGCCCGGCTGGTTTAGCCGCGCATTTCAAATCTCTCAGGTTGGTAACTCAAATAGAGATTAGGTTGTCAAATAAATACTGAATTAATATATTAAACCATTGGCGGATTTAAGGGGAGGCCCGGCCCCCACCCCTAAATTTTTAAAAATTTAACAAAAATTGAGAAAAAGAGAAAATTGTACTAATTTAAGTCTAAGAGTGCCAGTTCCGGCCATAATCATACATTTTTTACTTCAGCCCCAACCATGGTGGGGCTGAGGTAATAGACCGTCCATCTGTGAAAGTCCTTCTCTGGGTCCCCCTCTATTTCAAGTTCCTGGATCCGCTACTGCCATTCATACCTATGTTATGAATCTTTTCAGCGCGTGAATAAGAGGAAGGATAGCTTTTACTTTTCACGTTTCTATACTTTATTTTTCATCACCTGGTGAAATTAGGCACTCTGTAATTGATTAGATCAGTCATCTAAATCCGTTAAAAGGCCGTAACTTCTGGGGGGAACCAGAGATCTGCCCCTCCATCCCGCTGGGGCACTAGGCGGCCCCCAGACACCAACCAATGGGCCAGGGCAGCGAGAATGCCCCGCGGCCCGCCGTCGCTCCCGTCGCGACCCTGTGCATAACTACCAGTGGTGTTGCTAGAATTTTCCCAAACGGGGGTCCGATGTCCCTGACGGGGGCTACGTTCCCGAAGGGAAGATGCGTTTTCCAACGGGAGCATAAGTGAGTGGGGCCAGGGGACCAGAACCCTTCAGAGCCTCAGAGAAGTTCAGGCACCCATTCCACTTGAGCCACCACACGATTTGAACCTACCTCCAGAAACAAAGAGAACAACTGCAAACAAAATCAAAACAATCTTCATCTTGATTTTCGCTTCCTTCTACGCAAGTGGTTACAAATTTCTTTGAAGATGCTGTTGGCTACAGGTACGCTGATCTACTAATACAGACAATCAGCGATTGGCTTTTATATAGTGTGATCAGGATAATTTCCTCCAACCAGTTGTCAAAGGTCATTATTTCAAGCGTGAAGCCTTTTATTATTATTATTATTATTATTATTATTATACTGTGTTTATATCATATCATATCCTATTATATTATTATATTATATTATACCATGTCATAACATACTGTATATCATACTATATCATATACCCCTGGTTCTCAATTAATCTATTTATTTCATCTCACGGGACCAACAATATGCCTAATCTCCTAGTTGCATGCAAGTTGTTAAACTTTATGGATTTCAGCGGTCGAACCAGTGGCGCAACGATGAGTCTTCTAACTTTGAACTTTATTGGAACACCTTTGTATCAGTGGCACACACCATCTGGTGGTGCACCTGGTTCTCAATTAATCTATTTATTTCATCTCACGGGACCAACAATAGGCCTAATCTCCTAGTTGCATGCAAGTTGTTAAACTTTATGGATTTCAGCGGTCGAACCAGTGGCGCAACAATGAGTCTTCTAACTTTGAACTTTATTGGAACACCTTTGTATCAGTGGCACACACCATCTGGTGGTGCATCCAAAGAACAAGCAACATTTCACAAAATACAAAGAAAAGATACAAAAAAATTTAAAATGATAGAATAGTAAACATTAATGAGTACAATGGAAGGAATATCCCATGACCAAGAGACGGGCTGCCCAACTCGACAAGGTGGAGCCTAGCCGAATGGAGCAGTCTAACTTTCAGTGAATTACTCAGCACTTAAGACATGTTCATTTTGTTGGCCTTAAATTTTAAACACACTTAAAAAGGTCCTTGTCATTTGAAGAATGACAACCATAACTACCAAAAGTGACTAATAATAATTTTTTTCTTCCTTTCCTCCTCCTTTCTTTTCCTTTTCTCTTTCTTCTTCTTTTTTCCTCCCCTCCCTTGTTTCCTTCCCCTCCCCCCTTTTTCTTTCAAACAATTCAAATGACTAAGAGAAATTTAGGTGTGACTAAATAATAAATAATGATAACAATAAATAATGCCTTAATAACAAACAACTTAATGACTACAAACCTAACTAACAGTGAGAAAAACTAAAATACAATTTAACTTGTTTGGGAGGTAATGTAGCAAATATCTACTTGTCCATGCATTAATTAAATATTCTTTACATTGGAAATCAAAGGTTTGTTCTAATATTACATTTTCTATATACATATCATCAAGCTTAAGGTGACGTTTAAATTGCTGTGATCCATTTTTAAAACTGTACCAATATACACTTAAACCATATTCATGAAGACTGTCCCTAATATTTGAATATGTAATGTCTCTAGTAAAATTTAATCTAGTACAGTCAAATAAGAAGCGTTCTACAGTTTCTTTTTTGTTATCAATAGGCCTACATAGTTTTCATGTGCCTGTGTTATGATTCGACCATGAATGTTTGCGGCCTTCAAGATCTAACGAGTTTGATTTTGCTTTGAATTTTAAATTTTAAATTTAGTCATAAGACGGGATCCTGAGACGCAAACTCACATCGAAATAACATTTGCAGTACCCGCTGCTACTTGAGGATCGGATTCAACACTATTCATTAAGCACAAGCTCTTTAGTCTAGTGGTTATGGCGCCAAGCTAGTTATCTGGAGGTTTTGGGTCCCATTCTCACCAGAATCACTTGCGAAATTGTTTTAACAAGTATTTGGGAACGTACCGAGTATTCGGCACGATAACGCGTCATGTAGTCTAGTTGGTTCGATTCCCGCCCGAATCACTGAATCACCGAAATTTTTAGGGACGCACTGCGTATTCGGTACGATAACACTTCAGGTAGGGCAAAGCATCACTCCTAACATATGTATATTCCTTTAATAAGAAGTATTTATGTTAAGTATTTATGAATCAGTAGTTCAAACTGTTTCTACTTTTTGCAAAACGAAAAAATGCGCAATCATAGCTCAGAAGCGAATTTCGATTCGCGCGAATAAAGTCGCCTAGTGTTAATGTGAAGCCGGCTTTAATAATACCAATGTTAACATAATAGGCACGTATACCGATACAGGACCTGTGTATTACTTGTATTATGCACAGGGTAAGGGTATGCCCTCTATAGGGAGTGACTGGTTTATTTAACTTAATATATTATGCCATCTCATCTAATATTTGCCCTAATGCTCTACATTGGCCAAGCAGGAACAATAACAAAGTAATTCTTGATCTTTCCCTCCCTACATAAAACAATTAAGCGACCAATTCTTTTTTTTTTATTATTATTATTCTCGACAAAACCCACAAAAATATCGTCTTCCCGTTCATACTTCAACTTCGGCTAGGAATACGCTTTTTTTTTTGTAATTATTTTGTTTTTCATCTGTTTTGTCCGTATAAATTCCACTGGATCAAACACTACACTGGAAGATCCGTCAAAGTCATTTACCATTTACATGAGACCTTGCATTTCATGGGGGATTTGAAGACTCGGCATGTTTCAATGGGGTGGTTTCATTACTTCATTACTGATTAAACAAAAAAAAAAGAAACCTCCCTCGATTTTTACATGTCCTAATTGAACGCTATTCCAATAAATACATACTAAAAAGTGTTAAATGATAAATTGATGACTCCTCTTTGCATGCTATAGCAATCAGACATTTACATTCCATTAAGCAATTAGGATATTTATTGAAATAAAACATAAATAATATATTAACTAATATAAATCAAATACGTTTGCATGAAGAAGTAACATAGGTTTGTTGTATATTATGAAAATTTAGTGTACCGCAAACTAATCATTGATTGAAACAAACTTTAAGTTCAGTATTGTGTTTAATCATACATTTTCAAAATGAGTAAATTGGTAAGACCTAAAATGTGTGATAAAATATAAACTTAGTAGTTTAATTGTGTTAAATATACACCAACTCACAAAACTTTCCTGTTTAATATTATTCAATTAGTTTACTGTATTTTATTTCAAACAATTGTCCATGCGCTTTCTGACCACCAGGAGAAAATTGTAGAAATAAACATTGTTATAAATCCGCATAAAGAGAGAAATACTGCAGTGTCTAGTTTATTTTTATATTTTATTTTTAAGTATATTTTTATTCTAAAATAGAAAGAAATAGCCTGGGTGCTTTTACAATTAAAAAACAAAACATTTATGATATTAATAGTTATTTACATAATATAACCACAAGTCTATGTTATGTAGGCATATGTATAATGAACTTATATTTACTGTAGTTTACTTCGCAATGAATTACCATTGCAAAATCACAACTTACAATTATTATACACAAATAACATAACAAAGGAAAAGGGGCATAACTACATAGTTTATTTAGCAAATAAATAAACATGACGAAGAGAGACATGACTGCAGTTTATTCAATATCCAATAGGCAAAGTGTATACTTATTGGGGGCCGAAATTAATCAATTTCATACACTAAAAACATATAGTATTTGTCTAATTAAATACACAGCTATGAATTCATTAACACATTTCAGAGATATATATGATCATACATTTGGCTTAATATCTTCAAAACAAGAAATTGTCAGAGGTCTGTGCCCATTATAGCGATAACAACAACAATACAACATGTTAATAATAATAACTTATCATCGTCATTTTCATTATTGTCACTATATTTATGTTCATTATTATTTCCACACTCAAAGGCAGGTCAATTAAATCAAATAAAAAAAAATCTGTTCAATTTATAACATTACAAGAATTTTAATTCATTGTGTTCTGCCTTCATAAAAATTGTAAAAAAAAATACACACATACACACTAACTAAAACATATACATATATACATAATGTACGTCTGAATACATACAAATAAAGATAGACGCTAATCAGCACTACTTCACACGTGTGCCTTTCATAATTACATAGTCAACTGAAAGAAAAAAAACATGCCTTTATCTGTATATTTATTTCTGATAGTTCTAGTATGCAACATTATTTTATATAAATAAATATACTGTAAATATACATTTTTTTTCAAAATATATGTCAAGCGCGGATCCAAAGTTTACAAGTCTACAAATAAAACATAAACATGTAAAATACATCTACATTAAATCAAAATGGAATATTCACTGCCTGTTGGATCACAGTTTTAATGTTGCAGGGGTTCCGAAGGCTTTACAGTATAACCAATCCCTGTATTTCTGATAGATTACTGATTAAAATGTAAAACATTAGATACATAAAAGATTTTATATTTAGTTCATTCTCAAATGGCATGTAAATCTCATATAGGCCTATCCCAAAAATTACGTTATAATCATTCCCCGAAGTGGAAGGGTTAACCTAATTAATTTTGATATGTTTTACGTTGTTTGTTGAATGGTCTTTAATTATATTACAGTCTAATATGACCACAACCAATTGAAGTCCTCTCTTTTAACTTTTAAACTTCTAAAATTTGAGTAGCTCCACATACATTTAAATTTTCTTAAATCATAAGGAAGTGCACTCGTTAAATTAGCTATGATAGTACAGAGAATATTGATTGAATGTCAATCTCAGATATCCATATTATAGGAAATTACGTTTTATGCATGCACCGTTTTATGCATCAACACCCGGATTCGCGCTAGCGGATTGTCGGCTCGCGAAATGTGGACACAGCGCGATCAATTCTCTTACAAGCAAATTCCTGTTTCTCAGGGTTCGTACGCGTCCTTAAATTCCTTGAATGTCCTGGAAAAACAAATGAGCATTTTCTAGTACTGGAAAGTCCTAGAAATTTAAGAGTCCTTGAATGTCCTGGAAATTTGATCATTTACCATTAATTGCAGTACTACACGTTGCCTAGTAACAGTAAATTGAATGAGAAACGTTCCCACAAGTAGGTTCCCACAATACTCTTGAGAGAATTAGGTCATGTCTTTGTACGCCGCCAATTCAGGAATGTTATCAAAGACAGAAAGAATGTCATTGCTGAAAATTGCCGACTGGCTGGTTC